CTGAGTGTCTGCTCTGGACTGCTCAGTGCTCGGTGTGGAGGCAACAGGGCACTGAGTTTTTTGCCAAGTAAGGGAAGGTGGGGAACACTACGGAAAGAAGGAAGGAGAGGTCATCCAGACACAGCATGCACCTCTGCCACCCCAGTCCCTGTGGCCGGCTTGAGACTGGGGTTCCAAGGCCCCTTCCAGCCCCCCTGAGGCCACTTGGGAGACAGAGCACTCCCTGCCAACAGCTGCCCCACATTCCCAGGCCAGCTGGCCCCACCCCCACCTCATCCCTGCTGCTCTTCCCAAGATGGGGGCTCTGGATCAGAGGAGCCCATTTCTTCTTCCTCTCTGCTCCCCCCCCCCATGCAGAGGCAGCCAAGAAAATGACTTGTCATGCTGGGGTGGGGGGTGGAGGCGGAGCTGAGGCTGAGCTCAGCGCGCACACTCACACACACTCACACACTGCGGCACACTGCAGCTGCCCGGGCGCCCCCTCCCTTCTGCCTCGCTGCAGAGACACCTGCCCTCCTGCCTGCTTGGCCTTGGCTCCCTGCCACTGGCCCATGCCCTGTTCTCTGCTGAGGAGAGTGCCCCTGACCCAAGAAAGAGCCCTCTTCAAAGAAAAAGGAATGACAAGTCAGGGTGCAGGAGAGAGAAATGGGGCTCTCCCCAGGCCTGAGAACAAGGGGTGCAGGATATAAACCCTGTACTGCAAGTCAGAACCGCTCCCCTGGGGGTGGAGTTAGGAACATAGGTGGGGTCTTATGCCAGGACAGAAACAGATCATTGAAGTCTTAACTGTGAAGCTAAGGGGGTAGGGGTGGTAGACAGCAAATCAGTTCGTGTACCATAGGTATTTCTCTTTCTGCCCCACCTAGCTCAAAATTGTTACCTTGTTTGCGTATGGGGAGCCCTTGCCATTCTAAAACAGAACTACTCAGGGCCGGGGATTTAACTCAGTGGTTCTGCCACCTGCCTTGCAAGTGTGAGGTTCCGAATTCAATCCTCAGTACCAAAATAAATAAATAAATTAGAACTGCTTGACTGGCAGCTCGCTTGACTTGCCCAAGCCCTAGCCCTGCTTGTCTCTGAGGTGGCTGGCTGTCACCCTCTAACTGACCTAGAAGGTTCTTTCAATTCCCAAGTCCACAGAAGAGAACCTTTGGGCTCCTCTTGGGGCCATCACACCCTGTGTGGGATGTCTCTGACACCATTCACGGTCCATTTCCCCCAAAGCTGCATCTGTATCCCTGACCCTGCACTGCCAGATCTGCTCAATCCTGGCTCTGCAGTTCTTTCCTCTGAATGAAGGCCCTGGACCTTGGTCCCTCTTGTCTGAGGCCCAGAAATAAGAGTTGGGTCACAGGAGTGGGCTGGGGAGCAGATTGTGAATTCGCCCACTGGTCTCCTCCAGGTGACCCATCTGCTGAGTCCTCTGCCTGGAAGGTTAGCTCTGGTGTGGCTGCAGTTGGGGAAGGGTTGGGGGAGCCAGGACAGCAGTATCCTTCCTTGGTATCTCTGTCTGCCCTGCCAGTTTCTTGGATGTGCTTCTTGCTGTTTCTTGTGAGTCTGGAGAAGGGCAGTGGCTAGGGAACCCGGGGATGTCTTCCTTTTCTTCACCTTGGGGAACACCTTGAATGACTCCTGCTTCCTTCCTAAATGTTTTTTGTTTGTGAAGCCCTCACTGCCCCATAACAGGGAAGAAAAGATGAGAAGAGAAACTGTTCACAGGCATGGGTTATGGGAGGGTGAACCAGGTCTCTCTGGAGCCTGGAGCATCAGGGTACAGCAGGAGAGAGGCTGGGAGCGTTTCAGGCAGGAGGAGTGTGCATGTGTGTGGGTGCTGGCTTGGCCACTGAGGAGCCAGATGATAGAGCCATGAGTGAGAGCCCTGTGTCTGCTCTGAGTTGGAAACCCTAAGGGGCTGAAATAACAGGTGTCTTAGTCTTTTGGAACAGACATTCTGGCCTTGGTGGGGATTTGGTAAGGCATGTGAGGAGTCTGTGGACATGTCCCCGAAGTTCCCATCTCCTTCTTCCTAGGCACTCTACTGGCCAAAAGTCCAGGGCAAAGGCAAGCTAGCGAGGAGGAGAAGGTTCAGAAGGCTCCAGTCCTAGAGCCTCTCCAGCTGAGCTCTCCATCCCCAGGCAGCACCAGGAGATCAGTGCTCCAGAGAGACAAAAGCTTCTTGTCAACAGAACATCTGAAGCAGAGTTCTGGGAAGAGGGTGGGGGCATGGGCAGCAGAGGGTGTGGCAGATGAAGGGAGGGAGAAGTCAGCTCTTATGGGAAAGGGGAGAGGGAAACCCAGAAGGAAAAGGCTAGAAGACCCAGGTCTCAGACCTTACTTAGCAGTGTCCAAGGTGGTGGGGTCTGAAGATAACCAGGCCTCTGTCCTCCCTCAATCTTATTTTCCAAGCGTACCCTCTTTCCTTTCCTGCCCTATACCATGCTACTCCCTACTCTCTTCAGTACAAGTTCCTACCTCTCTCTCTCAGGCCAGAGGACCCTCTGCCACCAGAGTGACACCCTAGAGACCATCGTCCTGGTAAACCCCAGTGCAGACAGCATCAGCTCTGAGGTAAGGCAGGGCCCATGCCTGGCTGCATGTGCTGTGATCAGCCCTTGCCGGTGCTGCTACCAAAAGGCCTTTGCCATCCAGACTGGCTCTGGGGGTGCTATAGGGACCAGCCGGGAGCATGTCCTTGTAGTAAGGAATGCCAGTGCCTCTCCCTGGGTTCCCCACATCTATGACCACTTCCCTCCTCCCTCTCCAGGTTTACCATCTCCTTAGCAGCCCGTCAGCTCACAAACTACTCATCTTAAGTGGGCAAAGTCTAGAGCCTGGGGGAGACCTCATCCTGCAGAGTGGCACCTATTCCTACCAAGACTTTGCCCAGGTCCTTCACAAGCCAGAGGTAAGTTCCATCAACACCTGAGGGTCTTGGGAGGAAGAGGATGGGACAGACTGGAGCTGCAGGAGGGATCCATGGAAGGGGAAATCTCATGTTGCTTGTTCTTGGGCGCCCTGATAGGAAGGGAGAATGTCACCGTGGAGAGAAGTGACACCAGGTCCTCACTCTGAGTCAGACCCAGACAGCCCCAGTGACCTGATCAGCTTCTATCTCCTGTTCCTCTAGATTGCCCAGTTGCTCAGCAACAGAGACCCTGGGATCCAAGCTCTGCTCACTGTGTCCTGCATAGGGGAGGGAGATTGGAGCCGCCTGGGCTCATCCAGTTCCCAAGAGACCCTGCATCTCCGACTGAATCCTGATCCTGTGCTACCCACCATGGATGGTGTGGCTGAGTTCTCCGAATACGTCTCTGAGACCGTGGATGTGCCATCTCCTTTTGACCTGCTTGAGCCCCCCACTTCAGGGGGCTTCCTGAAGCTTTCTAAACCTTGCTGTTACATCTTCCCAGGTGGCCGTGGGGACTCTGCCCTTTTTGCTGTCAACGGGTTCAATATCCTGGTGGATGGGGGTTCTGATCGCAAGTCCTGCTTCTGGAAGCTGGTGCGGCACCTGGACCGCATTGACTCGGTGCTGCTCACGCACATTGGGGCAGACAACCTGCCAGGCATCAACGGGCTTCTGCAGCGCAAAGTGGCAGAGCTGGAGGAGGAGCAGTCCCAGGGCTCCAGCAGCTACAGCGACTGGGTAAAGAACCTCATCTCCCCTGAACTCGGCGTGGTCTTCTTCAACGTGCCCGATAAGCTGCGGCTGCCTGATGCCTCCCGGAAGGCCAAGCGCAGCATCGAGGAGGCCTGCCTCACTCTGCAGCACCTAAACCGCCTGGGCATCCAGGCCGAGCCTCTCTACCGTGTGGTCAGCAACACCATTGAGCCACTGACCCTCTTCCACAAAATGGGTGTGGGCCGGCTGGACATGTATGTCCTCAACCCTGTCAAAGACAGCAAGGAGATGCAGTTCCTTATGCAGAAGTGGGCAGGCAACAGTAAAGCCAAAACTGGCATTGTACTGGCCAATGGGAAGGAGGCTGAGATCTCGGTGCCCTACCTGACCTCTATCACTGCCCTGGTGGTCTGGCTGCCAGCCAACCCCACCGAGAAGATTGTGCGTGTGCTTTTTCCAGGAAATGCTCCCCAGAATAAGATTCTGGAGGGCCTGGAAAAGCTCCGGCACTTGGACTTCCTGCGATACCCTGTGGCCACACAGAAAGACCTGGCTGCTGGGGCAGTGCCTGCCAACTTGAAACCCAGCAAAATCAAACAGCGGACTGACAGCAAGGAGAGCCTCAAAGCTGCTACCAAGACAGTAGCGAGCAAGCTAGCCAAGCGGGAGGAAGTGGCAGAAGAGGGAGCCAAGGAGGCCCGCTCAGAGCTGGCCAAGGAGTTAGCCAAGACAGAGAAAAAAGCAAAAGAGCCACCTGAGAAACCCCCAGAGAAGCCTGCCAAGCCTGAGAGGGTGAGGACAGAGTCAAGTGAGGCCTTAAAGGCAGAAAAACGAAAGCTGATCAAAGACAAGGTAGGGAAGAAGCACCTGAAAGAAAAGATATCAAAGCTAGAAGAGAAAAAAGACAAGGAGAAAAAAGAGATCAAGAAGGAGAGGAAGGAGCTCAAAAAGGATGATGGAAGGAAGGAGGAGAAGAAGGATGCCAAGAAGGAGGAGAAGAGGAAAGACGCCAAACCTGAGGTCAAGAAAATTTCCAAACCAGACCTGAAGCCCTTTACCCCTGAGGTACGCAAGACCCTCTACAAAGCGAAGGCCCCTGGAAGGATCAAGGTGGACAAGAACCGTGCTGCCCGGGGTGAGAAAGAGCTGTCTTCTGAGCCTCGGACACCCCCAGCCCAAAAGAGTGCTGTGCCACCTGCCCCTGTCAGTGGACACAGGGAGCTGGCCCTCTCTTCGCCAGAAGACCTCACACAAGATTTTGAGGAGATGAAGCATGAGGAGAGGGAACAAAGGGACACAGGACTAGGAGAAAAACCACTCCCTCTCAGTACAACAGAGGAGGGACCCACAAGTGTAGCTATGCAGGAAACGCAACCCTCTGTCCCAGGGCTGGGACAGGAAGAGCATGTGATGAAGGAGAAAGAGGTTGTCCCCAGCATAGCTAAGGAACAAGGCACAAAGGACAGAGGCCCAGACAGTGGGGCTAAAACGGAGGAGAAAAACGAAACCTGTGGGGAGAAGAAGCAGAAGGAAGCAGAGAGGCTCCCAGATAGAGCAGAAGCCAGGGAGGAAAGTGAGCCTGAGGTAAAGGAGGATGTGATAGAAAAGGCTGAGTTAGAAGAAATGGAGGAGGTGCACCCTTCAGACGAGGAGGAAGAGGAAGAGACAAAGGCTGAGGGTTTTTATCAAAAACATATGCAGGAAGCCTTGAAGGTCATCCCAAAGGGCAGGGAAGCTCTTGGGGTCCGGGAACTGGGACTCCATGGCAAGGCCACGGAGAAGGAGACCTCGTTGTTTTTAAGCAGCTTGGCTACGACTGCTGGGGCCACTGAGCATGTGTCTTACATCCAGGATGAGACAATCCCTGGCTACTCAGAGACCGAGCAGACCATCTCAGATGAGGAGATCCACGATGAGCCAGAGGAACGTCCTGCTGCACCCAGGTTCCCAGCCAGTACGTATGACCTCCCTAGGCCTGAAGGTCCCGGCCCCTTTGATGCTGGCCAGCCTGCAGATGGTGCTGTTCCCGCCCCCTCAAGCAAAGGCTTTGGAGCACCAGAGACAGAACTCGCCTATCCCCCCAACATAGTGGCTGCCCCTCTGGCCGAAGAGGAACACGTGTCCTCGGCCACTTCAATCACGGAATGTGACAAACTCTCTTCCTTCGCCACGTCAGTGGCCGAGGATCAGTCTGTGGCATCACTCACAGCTCCCCAGACAGAGGAGACAGGCAAGAGCTCTCTTCTGCTTGATACAGTCACAAGCATCCCCTCCTCCCGCACTGAGGCCACTCAGGGCTTGGACTACATGCCATCAGCGGGAACCATCTCACCCACCTCCTCACTGGAAGAAGACAAGGGCTTCAAATCGCCTCCGTGTGAGGACTTCTCTGTGACTGGAGAGTCAGAGAGACGAGAGGTCATGGGGAAAGGCTCAACTGGGAAGAGAGCTGTGGAAGAGGAAAAGGAGGAGAGGGCAAATGTGGAGGTATCTGAAAAACTTCGCGGTCAATATGGAACCCCAGTGTTTGGTGCCCCTGGACATGCCATACAACCAGGGGAAGCTGCCCTTGCTGAGGCTGAGGAACGCTGCCTCAGCCCAGATGACAGCACAGTGAAGATGGCCTCCCCTCCACCATCTGGCCCCCCCAGTGCCACCCACACACCCTTTCATCAGTCCCCAGTGGAAGAAAAGTCTGAGCCCCAAGATTTTCAAGAAGAAGAAGAAGAAGAAGAATCTTGGCAAGGTGCTAAGCATATACCAGGTGTAAGAGAGGAGTATGTTGCAGAAGAGACAGTCAAGCCAGGGCCTAAAGAGGGCTCACTAGAGAAGGAAGGAAAGGAGGCTCCTTCCAGGAGTCCCCAGGCTCAGGAAGCACCTGCCAGCATTGCTGGGGGACATACAGGCTGCACCATCCAACTGTTGCCAGAACAAGACAAAGCAATAGTCCTTCAGACAGCAGAGGCAGGAGAGACTATGGAAGTGGGAATTGGGTTCCCAGGGCCAATTCTGGGGCCAGAAGCACTTCCCAAGGAATTGAGGACATCACTCCAAGAACCTGGCGAATCTCAGAAAGATGAGGTGCTCACACTTCCTGACCAAAGCCTCTCCCCCGAAGACGCAGAGTCCCTCTCTATCCTCAGTGTGGTTTCCGCAGACACTGCCAAACATGAGTCAACCCCCCGGTCACCCTGTGGCCTGACAGAGCAGCACATATACACAGAACTATGGCCAGAGTTATCTCCAGAAGATACCCAGTCTCTTTCTGTCTCAGAAGAGAGTCCCAGCAAGGAAACCTCTCTGGATATCTCTTCAAAGACTGTCTCAGAAGAGAGTCCCAGCAAGGAAACCTCTCTGGATATCTCTTCAAAGCAGCTCTCTCCAGAAAGCCTTGGTACCCTCCAGTTTGGGGAACTAAGCCTTGGAAGGGAAGAAAGAGGGCCTCTGATGCAGGTGGAGGATATCTCTTGCCACCTAGCTCCTGTGTCCATTCCAGAGCCCTGTGCAGCCATGGTGTCAGCTCCACATCCAGCAGACAGGGCCACTGGATACTCTGTACAGGCAGATATCACAGATAAAAGCCCTGATAGGAAGCTGCCTGCCATCTCCTCCCACTCACCCCCACCTGGAGACGGGAAGTGCTCACCTGGGCTGGTCATAAGCCCTGGTGAGCACGTTCGGGCACCCGGTAGCCCCCTCAATGAAAGTCCAGAGTCTTCGCCGAGCACTGCCATGGAAGACATTGCTAAGGACTGGGAAGATACAGTTCCAGGGTTGAAGGACAGAACCTCTGAGCAGGAGAACAAGGAACCTGAGCCAAAGGAAGAAGCCTTACAGCAGAAAGACAAAACTCTGCAGCAGAAGTGTATTGTTGCAGCGGAGAGGGATACAGCCATGTATTGTAAAGATGAGACTCTGGAGGGAAAGAATAAGGTTGTGGGGCTGGAGGATGTGGCTTTAGAACAAAAGGGCAGAAATTTAAACCAAAAGGATATAGCCCTAGAGCAGAAGGAGAAGGCCTTGGAATCACAAGACAAAGAACAAAAAGACAAAGTCTTGGAACTGAAGGATGCAACCTCAGAAGAGAAACATAAGGCCACAACCCTAGAACAAAAGGACACTGCCCTGGAGCAGAAGGGCAAGGCCTTGGGGGAAAAACACAAAGACTTAGAACAAAATGAGGAGGACAGGATTCCAGAAGAAAAGGACAAGGACACAGCTCTGGGACAGAAGGACCAAGCCCTGGAGCCAAAAGACAAAGAACAAAAACACAGCAATTTAGAACAAAAAGATAAGGTCTTAGAACAGAAAGACAAGATCCCGGAAGCCATAGAACCAAAGGATGCAGCCTTGGAACCGAAGGACAAAGAACAAAAGCAGGGAACTTCAGAACAAAAAGACAAGGTCTTGGGACAGAAGAACAAGCTCTCAGAAGAGAAAGAGAAGACCTTAGAGCCAAAAGTGCAAGGTTTCAAACATAAAGACAAGGCCCCAGAGGACAAGGTTCCTGAGCCAAAGGACGAAGTTCTAGAGCAGACAGGTGAAATCCCTGAACATCAAGACAAAACCCAGGAACAGAAGGATGAGGTCTTCAAAAAGAAAGATCAGGCCTTAGAACAAAAATACTGGGCCTTAGGAAAGAAGGATGAAGCTCTAGAAGAAAATAAGAAGGCTATTGAACAGCAAGATAAAGCTCTAGAAGAAAAGTACAAAACTTGGGGGCAAGAAAGCTTTGAGCAGGAGGATACAAGTGTGAAACCAAAGGAGACCATCATAGACAAAAAGTCTCCAGAAAGGGTCACAGCTGCGGCACAGAAGGAAGAAGCTCTGCTGGAGAAGACCAGAGCTCTGGGGCTGGAAGACAGGCCCGTGCAGGAGGGTAAGGGCCAAGAGCAGGAAGAGGCGCACTGGAAGGAGACTGATATGGGCCAGGAGTGGCAAATACCTCCAATCCGAGGAGAACCTGTTGGAGAACAGAAAGATCCCACCCCTGCCTGGGAGGAGACATCTCCGGAGCAGGATGTCCAATCTTGGAGGGGCGGAGAGGATGTGGCTCTGGAACAAGACCCATACTGGAGGGGGTTGAGCTGTGAGAGAAAGGTCTGGTTCCCTCATGAGCTAGACGGCCAAGGGGCTCACACACGGTACCCCGAGGAACGAGAGAGCACCTTCCTCTGTGAAGGACTGGAGGAGCCTGAAGCACCCCCACAACGGCACACACCCCGGAGCCCATGGGCTTCCGATTTCAAGGGTTTGCAGGAGCCCTCAGCACAGAAGGGACTGGACGTGGAACGGTGGCTCTCTGAGTCACCCATCGGGCTGCCCCCAGAGGATGAGGACAAGTTGACCCGTTCTCCCTTTGAGATCATCTCCCCTCCAGCCTCGCCACCTGGGATGTTGGGGCAGAGGGGTCCTCCTACCCCTGGACAAGAAAGCCCTAGTCCCGAGATGAAGCCCATGCCGCCTGCCAGGAAAGAACCTGCCGCTCCCTCCTGGCTGGCTGACATCCCACCATGGGTGCCTAAGGACAGACCCCTGCCCCCAGCACCCCTCTCCCCAGCTCCAGCTCCCCCCATACTTGCTCCAGAGCCTCATGCGCCTGCACCCTTCCCCTGGGGCACCGCGGAGTATGACAGTGTGGTGGCTGCTGTGCAGGAGGGTGCTGCTGAGTTGGAAGGTGGGCCGTACTCCCCGCTGGGAAAGGACTACCGCAAGGCTGAAGGGGAAGGGGAAGATGGAGGTGGGCATGGGGCTCTTGACAGTAGCCCCTGCGGCTCCAAGGTCCCTGAGGCCAGTGACAGCCATGCCACAGGGGACACAGCGCAGACTGAGGTGGAGCAGAGAGAGCCCACACCCTACCCTGAGGAGAGGAGCTTCCAGTATGCAGACATCTACGAGCAGATGCTGCTGACCGGCCTTGGCCCTGCATGCCCCACAAGGGAGCCTCCACTTGGGGCAGCTGGGGACTGGCCCCTGTGCCTCTCAGGCAAGGAGGCCGTGGGCCGAAAGGCACCTGTGGAGAAGGAGCGGTCCTCCCCCGTTTCACCGGAGAGCCTCCAACCTGACACTCCAGTCTTTAGCTATGCAGCCCTGGCAGGACCTACAGTGCCCCCCAGGCAGGAGCCTGAGATAGGACCAAGCGTAGAGGACAGCCTCAACCCACCTGCAGTGCCCCCTCGTGCTCCTATCCCCTTAAGCAAAGGCCCTAGTCTCCCTTCCAGTGGTAGTATCCTGAGCTGCAGTCCAGATCGGAGGACCCCCTCCCCCAAAGAGTCGGGCCGGGGTCACTGGGATGACAACACAAGTGACTCAGAGCTGGAGAAGGGGGCTCGAGAAAAGGCGGAGAAAGAGGCTCAGTCTCCAAGCCCTGCTTCCCTGCTCCCTGGGGGTGCCCCCACACTGTGGCCGGAAACTGAGGCACACACAAGCCCTTCCTTGGACTTGTACCTGGGACCTGCCCGACCAAGCCTGGACTTCCCTGCTTCAGCCTTTGGCTTTTCCTCACTGCAGCCTGCTCCCCACCAGTTGCCCTCCCCAGCCGAGCCCCGTTCAGCGCCCTGTGGCTCGCTTGCCTTCTCTGGGGACCAAGCTCTGGCTCTGGCTCCAGGACCCCCAGCCAGAGCCCGGCATGATGAATATTTGGAGGTAACCAAGGCCCCCAGCCTGGACTCTTCCCTGCCCCAGCTCCAGTCCCCCAGCTCCCCGGGGGCTCCCCTTCTTTCCAGCCTGCCACGGCCTGCCTCCCCAGTCCTGTCCGAGGGCTCCTCCTCTGAGGCTACCACCCCAGTGATGTCCAGTGTGGCTGAGCACTTCCCCCCAGGCCTGGGGGCTGCAGAGCACAAGTCTGCAGAGCTGGACCCAGGCATGGAACCCTCGGCCCCAAGGCTCTGGGACCTCACTCCTCTGAGCTCAGTGCCCCTAGCTCCCCTGGACTCAGCCCCAACTCCAAGCCTTCCCGGAGACATGGATGGTGGCAGTGTGCCCTGCCACCTGGAGTGCTCAAGGGACACCGCCAGGAAGCCAAGCCCCTTCCAGGGCCTCTCTGGGGATCCTGCAGCCAATGGCCCAACTGAAACCAGCCCTAATCCCACTGGCCTTGCCATAGCCAAGACCGAGAAGGAAGAGGCTGGAGTCCGCCCTGCTTGGGAGCAAGGGTCCTGGCCTGAGGGAACCGAGAGAAATGTCCAGCCTGACACACTGCTCTCCCCTGAACAGCCGTTGGGTCCTGAAGGGGGATCAGGGGGTCCACCCTGCAGTGTCTCTCCTGAGGCTGAGCCTGGGCCTCAAGGATGTGCCGCTGAGCCCTGGCCCCACTGTGGGGAGCTCTCGCCATCCTTCCTGAACCCACCTCTGCCACCATGCACAGATGACAGTGACCTTTCCACTGAAGATGCTGGGCTGGTAGGAAGAGGGGGGCACCACCGCATTGGGGGCCCAGGGGCCATGGGGGGCCCATGTCCTATGGCTGATGAGACTCCCCCGACATCAGCCAGTGACTCGGGCTCCTCACAGTCAGATTCTGATGTCCCACCAGAGACTGAGGAGTGTCCGTCCATCACAGCAGAGGCAGCCCTTGACTCTGATGAAGATGGGGACTTCCTACCCGTGGACAAAGCTGGGGGGGTCAGTGGAACTCACCATCCCAGGCCTGGTCACGACCCACACCCCATCCCTCAGCCGGACCCTCACCCAGCCCCTCCCCGCCCTGATGTGTGCATGGCCGACCCTGAGGGACTCAGCTCAGAGTCTGGGAGGGCAGAGAGGCTACGGGACAAGGAGAAGGTGCAGGGGCGAGTGGGCCGCAGGACCCTGGGCCGGGCCAAGCCAGCATCCCCTGCGCGGCGTCTGGATCTTCGGGGAAAACGCTCTCCCACTCCTGGTAAAGGGCCTGTGGATCGAGCATCCCGGGCCCCACCCCGGCCACGCAGCACCGTGAGCCAGGCCACCCCAACAGAGGAAAAGGATGGACACAGCTCAGTGTCTAAAGGCCCCATCAATGGACCCAAGGCAGGACCCAGTGAGTATATCATGGAGCACAGGAGAGTGGGCTGGGGCTGGGTGTGGACTGGTCCAAAGGCTCCAGGTTGGGGGTGCCAATGCTCTCTGCTTTTCCTCTCCAATGTCTCCTGGCTTGTCTCCACAGTGGCCTTGGGGTCCAAGGGTGGCTCTGGCCCCCCTGTTTACGTGGACCTCGCCTACATCCCGAATCACTGTAGCGGTAAGACTGCTGACCCCGACTTCTTCCGCCGTGTGCGCGCGTCCTATTACGTGGTCAGTGGGGACGACCCCACCAATGGCGAGCCAAGCCGCACAGTGCTGGATGCCCTGCTGGAGGGCAAGGCCCAGTGGGGGGAGAATCTCCAGGTGAGCAGCACCAGTGTCCTGAGAGCTCGCTCAGGCGCACAGTGGGACTGTGCGTACACAGGGCCCTTCTCCCTCTGCTTCCCGCCACCTCTCACCTCTGACGTCTCGTCTCCTTCCCAGGTGACGCTGATCCCTACGCATGACACGGAGGTGACCCGTGAGTGGTACCAGCAGACTCACGAGCAGCAGCAGCAGCTGAATGTCTTGGTCTTGGCTAGCAGCAGCACTGTGGTTATGCAGGATGAGTCCTTCCCAGCCTGCAAGATCGAGTTCTGAAAGAACCACCCTCCCCGAGGATCCACTCCCCCAGCTCCTTTAGAAAATGGCTACAGCTGTGTCCTCCGGGGTTAAGGGAGGTGGAGCTAGGATGGGGGGATGTCTGGTTGCGGGGACTTGGGCTGAGCTAAATGGGAGGTACTGTCCTGCCCTCATCTACCCCGAGAGGGGTCTCAAAACCAAAAATAGTAAGGGAGAGGACAAAGGAAGGTCCTAATTGAAGCTAGGAGGGCATTCGATGCCCGAGGATGCCAAGTGATGCCCTGTGCAGCACTGTCGGGTGCTGGCATTGGATGGGGCATGAGGATGGGTCTCAGAGCAGCCTCCTCTTGTGGAAGGAGACTGTACCCCCAACCCCAGGGACCTCCTTATCTCTATTTAACATCCCAGGAAGGATTCCTGATAGTAATTTGTGACCTGGGGGTGGGATACTATCAGTAAGGTACCCAGAGCTGCACTGTTCCCTCCACCTCCCATCTCCTTAGCCACCGCTGCTACACTGTCCTTCGCTTCCCTCAGTATCTGAATGTCTCAATCCAAAACTTGAAGCTCTTCAGACCAACAGACTGGTGAGCAGAGAAAGGAACCCGTCTCCCAGCCCTGTTTCACACCATCCACACCGTAGGGCTGTGCCCAGAACAGGTCTCCTGGGCAGCACAAAAGGGCAAGGAGAGTCCCAGCCCCAATCCCAGGATTCTTCCAAGCTCCCTAACCCTTTGAAGTTTTCACCTACCCCATTTTAATGGTCCCAATCCCTTCTCATCCCCTGCTTGGCTTCTCTGCATGTGATCATCTGCTGTGGCCTGGTGTGTAATGGGTTAAAAATAAGCCACTGCCTGACATCTCAACATCGGACACCCCAGCCATGTGTGATTCCCCCAACCTTCTACTGTGTCATCCTGCAGCTGAAATGGGAATGCTGGCTGCCTCTCCAAACCTAAACTCTTGGACAGAGGACCTGGGAGGTAGAGGCCAGGCCAGAGGACTTGGGGAAAATGAGAGGGAAGAAGAGGGAGATGAAGCTGAGCTAAAACTTTATGCCTACAACGTGATGTGGAAGCAGGCTGAAGATTCCACCCCAGGAGAGGACTTGCCCCCAGCCAGTGAGTGAGCTGCCCTGACTGAGAAGCCTAGGCACCAGTAGTTGCCGGGCTCACCTCTGTGGAATAACTGGGCCACCAAACCGAGCCCACCTTTTGTCCTTCCTAGCTTTCCCTCTCTGTGCTGCAGTGCTCTGCTTCTCCCTACACATCCCTGCTATTGTTCCCAGCTGCTGTGACAGAGCTGCTGAGTCAAACAATAAACCAAGTTCATTGCAGATGGTGTGGTTCTGCTTGGGCTTTTGGGGGGGCTTCACATGTTACTTAGGTGCCGGGCCTGACTTCCACCTCTCTGCCTCAATCAACATTGTCTTTTTTTTTTTTTTTTTTTGTTTTTTTGCTCC